GGGTTGTAATGATTTGCCACTCAAGTAGACCTGAAAAATCTAATACTCCTGTCACTTTGAAATTTGTACATTAAGACTAATTCAACGATGAGGCGAGCATACCGCTATAAATTCTTCCAACCTTTTTTTTTTCCTTATTTGCGCGTAACGCTCGTAAAAAGTTCAGATTCTAACAGGGAGCAAGGATTAATTCCATCGTATTCGAATGTCTGGTAAAAATTTAGAAAGAAAACAAGAATATTATATTAGGAGTATTTTCTTTTACCTGAAATACAATATATTAACAGAAGACCTCGTTTTAATGACATGTTAGTTCATAAGATAACGAAACTTCGTTGAATGATGCGGTCGATGCAATCCTCCCCCCACCCCCCCCCAAAAAAAAATGCGAAAAAAGGGTCGAGAAATATACAATTGCTATTACAAAAAAATACATTTTGTAATTTCTAGAAAGATTATATAGCGTTTCCAATACAATTTTTACTTGATTTCAGAGATTTTTCAGACTGAAAATTCAATTAAGGCTACTAGAAGCCTTAATTGAAACACCTGCCATCAGAATCGGTGATATAATCGTACACAAGAGTGGCTCCTTTCAGAAAAGAAATATCATGAAGCAAAATATATATATAATGAGGTAAGCAATATCTTTACCGTGAGCACGATAGAGTCAAAATAAATTGAAAAAAAAAGTAAATGGTATTAGGTGACATTTACATTTCCTGTTAGAATTGAGCGACAAAAAACTATGATTTTCAAGACACCTGGAGAACAATTCATGGGCAAAACCGAAAGGTCAATGGTCATAATTTGTTCTCTCCATTCAAGCGAACGCCACCAACCGATCAGATTTGGAGAAAACGGTAAATAGACAATTATTAACAAATATTCTTCTTTTCTTCTTTCATATCATATAACATTTTTTCTCATGATATTTATGTATCCAAGAAACTGAATAACGAACGTCAATGAGAAAACTACTAAGTGGTATAACGCTACTAGCCAACAGCCAGCGCCAACGTGCTCAGCGTAGATCCCAGTCGAAACTAAGGAGAAAATGCAAATTTCTGATGGTAAGCTAGCGGTTTTCCTCTAAAAAACCGATGTACAAAGCGTCGCTGATTCAATCAGTCGTGAACGTGGCGTACATATGGAGTGTGATCATTTTGTCGCAACAGTCACCTCCTAAAGACTGTTAACTTCTTGAAGTTGAGGCAAGCTTTATGGGTGGCAACTGGTAAAGGAAGATAGGGAAAATCTACCGTCATCTGTCAAATAACGTTCCGATTAAAACGCTATGCAATTACGAAGTTTTATAGGCTCTAACTCTGGCATTTATACACTGCTCTCGAAGAGAAGATTTTCTAAGAGCCTTCAATTCTTTTTAATGTCAGACGAAATTTAAAAAGATAATAGAAAATCTTTCATTGGGCAAGTTAAAAGATAAACAAACATGAACTCATGTATGACTATGATATTTAGTCATGCGAATTCTCTAATAACTCGAATTTGTTGGTCCCTTTGTCTATCGAAATTCCCTAAAGGAAGTTCTCAATAAACCATCCATCTTCATAGAGAATTTTCCAACCCGGAGACTTCCAAATATCCTGATGAAGGAAAAAAAAAAACATCCTTGACGTAATTAGTTTATATTGTTTCTCGACAACCAAAATGTATGCATTTACTTCCCTAAGGCACAAACACGGAAGTAATCTCTTAGATCTTAGCACATTTTTCCTTTCTTTAATGAAACTGTTTCCACTTACCAAGAAACACACCAGTTTTGTTTTTAATGAGAAAAATTTCCCATCGATATATGCTTTTGTGTAGTTTTCGTGACAATTTTAAAGGCATCAACTCACGACCAGACTGTCTCTAAAGCTGCTCAAACACCCCTTTGTAAATTAGTTAGTATTCACCCTTTTTGAATAAAATGGTTTTTTTTTTCAGCCTAGTTTCATAAGACCATAAGACAGCCTAGGGTCAAAGCTAGCTTAGAAAATCATCTCACTGTTTGAGCGACAAAATAAGGTCGCTTTTGAGATAGTATACGCCAGTAATGTTATGGCTACGGTTTCAAATCAGCCATTTACAACTCCACTTTGGCTAATTAAGATGCAAAGGGCATTACACGAAATCTTCGCGTTTGTTATCAGATCTTTGACAGCACTTTAGCTGGGAAGCATACTGTTCGCAGTCACGAATTTTCATCAAGCTTCACTGTCTTTGGTAAACTCAGCAGGTCATTGAGAGGTTCAACTTTTGGGTGAGATTTCAGATATTAATCATGGCGAAGTTAAAATCATTCTGTTAACGTTCCCTTTCATTTATAAGTGCTTCGTTTGAATTTCTCTTTGTTGACGCTAACTGCTTTCAACAGATGAACCTAAAAGATAAGTTTGAGTCGAAAAACGAACTTTTGCAATTTTTTTTTTTTTTCCATAATTGACATGCCATTTTAGTGGGGGTAAAAATAACCGATATTCCCGTAATTGTTTTCTAAAAAGGATCTTATTACGTGTAATTGAAGAGATATCTCACCTTCATGCATAACTGGGTCAAAGCATCATGATTGCTTTATTACTGATTACTCGAATAAGAAATTTCGCCTCTTTCCTCTTTTTTTACCCGATTGATTTGTTATTTCAGACCGATTTATCCCAGTTACTTTCATCTAAGGAAGATCTCAGTTCTTCGAGGCATTTCACTTTCTTTGTATATTTGATTCTACGCAAAAAAAAACAAAAGTGAATAAGAAATTTCTCCTCTTTCCTTTTTTAATCAATCAGATGCAGTTCTAAAGTAATTCCGATGTAATTCACTTTCATCTTTTAAGATTATAAGTCCACCGCGCCTCAAGCATTTTTTCAGACCTGAGGATTGGATTTTTTCCTTCTATGCCTTGTCCTGATTGGGTTTGGTGATAACAGAGGTTTTGGTCTTTAAACGTTCAATCGTACTGGTGCCAATCTGTTTTAGTTGACTTGCTCCAAGAAGCTGCAGCTGCTAGCTGCTTGATGCAGGAATTAAAAAGGTTAAAAAGACAAAAAAAGAAAAAAGGAAAAACAAGAAAAATCAAAACAAAAAGAAAAAAGTAAGAATGAGAGAAAAAAGAAAACACGAAAGAAAAGGAAGGGAAAGAAACTAGAATTGACCGAGGACTCTCGAGTCCGAGACGGGTCTGGGTACTAAGTGAGAAGGCTTGGTTACACGTGTGCTTTTGCTTGCTAAATTGAACTCCCTGAATCGCAAACGTTTACGGTAGAATAGAAACTTACGAGTTATTTTTATTCAAAAGAAAGTCTTGATCACTTGCGCTTATGCCGGTCATAAGTAAAATTTTAAAATTTTGCCCGTCGGAGAGTGTATCATGGATGTTTCTTTTTTTAATTTTCCAAAAAGATACGTCTTGACGATGGTAGACAAATACACAAATTAAACCAAAAGTGTTGAAATATGACACAAATTCTAAGAGATTCAGCTTTGCAAACACACAGTGGCCCGACCGACCTCGCTTTCATGCGAACCTGTTACCAGGCTTCCCAAGCAAATTTTCATTATGCATAGCGTGTATGGGGATGACCTATAGTCGTTCAGTTTAAATTCCTAAGTTGATATTTTCCAAAGTTCAAAATCAAACTACAGATTAACACCAATGGGATTCTTTACCTTTTTCTCCAAGATTTCATTCTAAATTCTCCCTACTGTCTCCGTCTATTTTAGTTGGAAGAATTTGGTATTGGATCAAGAAACAATCCTCTAATTGATATCTTTCTTTATTATCACCAGTTGTCTGCTTGGTATTGTCTGAGAAAAAAAATTCTGTTTTAGTCACTCAAGGTTGTTAAAAAGTGAGGAAATAACATAATAGATGCTTTGTTCCGATTTAATCCACCTTTACAGACTCGAAAAACAACTCTGGGTTAGTCTCAAGGCAATCAGATGTAACTGATGGAGCATGGTGAGAATGTGACGGAAATTGGTTTTCATCAGTGGATGCAATCTTCTCTTCAAAAGAAAACTATACAGTATTAGGTTTTTTGTCTTGTATTTGAATTACAAACAGATGTTGAAAATTTCTCTGTCGCTATACAATACGATTTTTTAACTACAACCTATACAAATATTAACAAATCGTTTCTTTAAAGATTTCCAGGACAATGAACTCAGCGGTAATCTCCGCAATGGCCTCAACTGAGTCATCAAACAAACCACGCAAGATCCAAAACTGCGCCCATTTTTTACGACTTTTAAAGAAGTTTTGTGAAGCTTTTACGGATGACACAAGTAGGAGCTTATCTCTATGATATATCTCCAATGTTTAAAGTAATCCTCAAGTCCGGACATGTAATTTGTGAAAAAAGAAGTTGTTATCGTGTCTCCAGGGGAATACTTCCCGTGTTTGGAGAAAATATTAGCAAACGTATTTCCTGCCGAAATTTAATTTTGGTTTGTTTGTTCTCGTGTATGTATGCCGTGTTGCTTGAAAAGTATAACGCGAAGGAGATGTAATACCATGACAGTTGATTTGAACGGATTAACATCCAGTTTCATCCACACTTATTTATCGCGGGAGTATCTAAGGCATGAGTTAGCAGGTCTGTAAACAGGTTTCAAGGTAAGACAACTAAGGCAAGCCTGGGGGTTATTCTTGATACGATATAAAAGATATTTTGAGAAAAAGAAACTGTGATTGAAACGAGGTTTTTTGAGCCAGGCTCTCGTTCGCTGTGTGATCGACCGTAACTCAGGCCAAGCTTTAAAAATACGGAGCGCAGAACGCCCTTTCCATGACGTTCGTCGTTTTTCACACGCACTTAAGCCTATTATTTTTATCATCTTGCCGATCGAGAGGCAAGCACGCGTGAAACAGAAAGTGTCGCAAAGCATCGTTTTTGGGATTCCATCCTTGAAAACGCGATATTCTTTAAGCAGTTTTTACATTATCATATTTATCTATTTGTATTACCATTAGGTTCGTTCCAAGAGTTCTTATCACTTCGAAATCCAGTCATAAAAAAACGTGATAGTCTTTTTTAATTGTTTCTTGTAATTATACTCGGGTTATTTCGTTGTATCTCGCAGTTACATTTAAAAAAATTAGACCTGGTATTTTTTCAGTAAGAACTTATAATACGTAATATATATACGAACATTTTTTTTCTCCTGGACCCTATGCTTCCCTGACGCAGTTGACAAATCACAAGTCGCAGTCTGTGAGTCTCAAACGAAAATTATAACATCTCGCTTCGTTTACATTTCCTAAAGTCTCAAATTTTGGTGGAAGGAAAGGCGCTACATATTTCTAATTCTACTAAAACTAGAATTCTGTAATCACTTTTTCCGTTTCATAATTTATTTAATTATTGCGCAGATCTGCGCATATATTAGCAACAAAGAACGACTTAAGAAAAAGGATAACTTTTTTTAAGTTTTATTATTAGAGGGAAAGAAGTGTTTCCTTTTTAGTTCAAATGCTTCTATCCACTTATGCTGCAAACTTGTTTTGCTCAAAGATACGTTTTCTTCTAAGTTACAGTTGACAAAGGTTTGAAGTACGAAATCCGCTGAGTGATTTTGTCGAATACTTAAATGGAAAACGAACCATTTAATTATCTTGCCTATAGTGATATTGCATGGGAGGTGTAAACAAAATACAGTTTGACAAGACGACCGTTGACAAAAGGAAGACCACCCAACGAACGTTTTCAATTGGTGTATTTTTTTTTATCAGTGATATTTTTTCATTCAAACAGAATACAGCTCTTGGAAGTTTCGGGAGGAAGGCCCTAATTAAAATGGAATTATAAATTAAAGCTAAAAAGTCTATTTCCCGCACAAAACTTCGCACCTTCATTTGGTTATCTTTCCATTCTTTGCTGCCAAACCACATGCTGTATAAGACAAGGAGACAAATTTTCAACTTTAAAAGATAAATGAATGAAAAACGCTTCAGACAGAAGCGTTTAGTTTGTATCAATGGCCGGGTACAAATGTATACAGATGAGCTCCACTCAGATACCACCATTTCGAAATTTTCATGATTGAGCCATGCTCCTCCGTAATAAAATAATTAATTATTTTAAAATTGAATTTCAGATTTTGGTCGCCATCTTCAAAGGGGGTCTTTGCGAATGCGAATGTTGCTTTTATTGATTAATTATAATGTGTAAACCCAGGTTGAAGTTGACCAAATTGCAAATTATTCCAAAGCGATTACCACAGAGCTCCTGAAAAAAGAAAAGATAATAATTGTCATGTTTACGGTTCCCTTGGCCAATCGGAGGCACGATTTTGTCTCGGAAAGTTTCCCCACTCCTGACACACTTCAAGTGGGCGAGAATATGCCCATTTTTTTTTCCAGTTTGCCTTAACCATATCTTCTTCGTTATCGGTTACACTCTATAGCATTTATCTATCATCACCTAGTGTTTTCTCAGATTTGGAAAACAGAAGGAGAACAATTGCAATCTAAAAATCTTCTCTGTAAAATCACAGAGACAGAAAAGTCAATGTAAAAAAAAACATAATGGGGGCAGGAGGTTTATATTCGCAAAAACAAAATACATATATCATAGTCGACCAACTTAATCATTCCTCGAGCCCAGTCATGGTCTTTCAACCCTGGTGACAGATGGCTCAAACAGGCTCATTAATAATGATGGTTTGTGTTTGTATTTGAAACCGAGATAAAACAGAATGAACTGATTCCGAAAGTGGATCAAGTGAAAGATCTAGGCAAAGTAGTATGTTATTCGTCGATGGAAAAGTTATCTTTGGAGGTGGCGCGCGCTCCAAGCTGAATCTAAAAGGAAGTTTATCTCTACTGTTTTACCTCGGGTGTTGAGGTGTTCGAAATCATATGTGATATAAAGGAAAAGAAAATTTCCTCAACTGCTAGCAGACTAATTGTCTTTGGATCACAAAGGTACGCGATCAAACACTCCCAGTTCATCTTCTCTTTTTTTTTCCAAATTTTTTTTCGGTTTGAGAATTTAATTATTTGATTCTTTATTATTCCGGAAATGTCCCTTGTACTGCGAAGCTCCCATTTCGTCCCTTCTTCAATTTGTTTTGCGGTCAAGAAAGACAGTTTCTTTCATTACCCCTGGCCAGTCCTTCCCTTACACAGGCCATCTCTTAATGTATTCCTATGGCTATTTTTTTACCTTTTGCTAATTTTTTATATTGGCATATTCCGCTTTCCTTCTACACGAAATTAACATCCCTTCCTGGTTAGCCAGTGTCTTACTGACGTTACACGCACAATTTCTAACATTTACATATTCAATGAATAAGATCTCACAAGATAAACAGTTGTTTCCGCTGAATAAATTCACCCTAAATGAGCGTGACTTGCAACTGCAAACAGAAGGCAATGCTGGCATATCAATTTCTAAAAGTGTATTTGTAAAGGCAAATGAAATGTTATTTAAAATTTACGACAAAAAGTGACAACCTGTCACTTAGTTATGCAAAGCATTTCGATCTTTAATTCAATTTCTCGCGCAAAAATGTTCCCCTAGCTCAAATGTTTTTGCAAGAACCCTTGACAAAAGTTCGAGGTTTGTAAGGAAAAGTAAATACAGTGCGGTGTATCGATATCGTATGTTAAATTTGACGACATATCATACCGTGTTATCGTACTTTTTATCAGTGTCAGATTTTAATTACAGAACTAGATTTCAGATTTGTCATTTAAAAATCACAAGCTTCAAATCACAAGGTTGGACAAAGAGAACCGATTAGTCTTTCTACTATTCATCGCAGTTATGGTTGGAATAATTAAATATTTATGGAGTATAGACAGAGCTTAATGCATGTTTACAAAAGTAAAACTTTCCATAAATGGAGATTCAGATCTTTTTAAAGGTAAATGATTCGAGGAGTAGGTATTTTTGTGTTTTTTTTTTTTTTTTCGGTTTCGTTGTAAATGGTGGATTAGTTCCTGAAGCATGCAAGTGCCAGCACTGATCAAGGACATTTTGTTTCTTTAAATTGTAAGTTTTCTTCCTCTATTTTTACCGCACACAATGACAGAGAAAGCTCTGAAACGGGACAGCTGACGTAATTAATATTTGTCGCATTATAAGTCCTAATTAAGTTACTGAAAAAATTGAAACCACAAAAATGCACCTCTAACTAGACAAACCCAACTATTAGTTTGTAATTGAATTGGCAGTACATTTAAACGCCTGATATGGACACAACGCAGGTGTTAGCCAAAAAGAAAATTCTAGGCTGCAACTTGTGCACTTGTTTGTCGGAAACTGATGTTCTTGTACTTAGCATTCGCCAAAAGCTACCAAAACAAAGTTTACATTCGCTAATATCTTTCTAAATTTTCCTGGTCCACAGAATGTAGGTAACAAAGAAAGGTTTGAAATCTTCATGAAATGTCATAATTACGACAGAATTTATAGAACTCGACTCGGAGGGGAAGTTCAAAAATACTCAGTACTTTGATTACGGTCTCTGACGAAAACCGCCAAGCTCTTTTACCTTTTACGGTTATTAAATGTCATCTCTGAAAAGCCCAGAGTACCATTGGTCAATATTTGCTTCCACCTCATTCGCAATACAAAGCAAAGCTTTTTCTCTTGTGACAAACGGTCGGTGAATAAATAACGAACAAATGTTCAAATGTTGACTCCCACAGAACAACATTTAGGGAGCCAAAGCAAGTAATCCTGATTAGATCTGGATCATTAATTTGTCTTTCCTGAATTACGATATTATTACCATTTTAAATTTTAGCCCTCTTGCACTTCTTAACAACCGCTTATTTCTCAAATTCATCAGCACGCCGTTGAAGACTGAAAAGTGAAGATATTTGTCAATGGAAACACAAGGGAGTTTAGCGACGCGAAACTGTTCTAACTGTTCCACCAGTGATCCTGTTACCGGACACGAGTTTGAAGAGAACATGTCTGGTTTCGACGCCCAAAATGACGTCGTCCCCATCGCCATTGCCATTCCAATCATTGCAGTGAACTGCTGGGTAATCTCTCTGGTATGTTTGAAGAGAAGTTTGCGAACGGTAACTAACTACATCCTGACCAGTTTGGCTTTGTCCGACCTATGGACGGGAATGATTTCCATCCCTCTATTCCTCTGCTGCAACATTATCCAGGAGACTGAAATTTGCACAGCAGCCATGTTGTTCATGAGGTTTACCTCAACTTCCACGGTCCTCCACATTCTAGCCATGACAACGGATCGATACATCTGCATTGTTTATGCCTTGCGTTATATGACATGGGTGACCAAGAGACGAGTTCTCCATGTCATCGCAGCCATTTGGGCCATTTCTTTGTTCGTAATGCTCGTCCAACTCGAGTGGTATGATATGAACGAGGGCGTCAACGAAGAATTCTCTCCAGAAAACAAGAAAAAGATCATTATCGTTGACAGTATTTGCTTCTTCGCCTTCGTTGGTCTTCCAGTGATGGTTATGGCTTACACCTATGGCCGCATCCTATATGAAGTTCACAGACAGAGTAGAAACATCCAGAGGCACAACACTCCAGGATGGCAGGAGACTAAGAAAAGCACAAGGCAAGAATGGAAAGTGGCCTCGGTCTTCATGGTAATGCTGCTCGTATTCATTGTCTGTTGGGGGCCGTTTTATCTCCTCCGCCTTGAGCGTGTATTGAGCAGCGATTTCTTTCGGGTGACTTTCAGCGTTTTTGCCCAGATTCTGATGCTTTGGTTAAGGTTCGTTTCATCCTTGATTAACCCGTGCTTGTACATTCTTGGAAAGCCTGATTTTCGTAAGGCTTCTGGTCTTTCGATGAAAAAGAGGCGTTTTAACGATTCAGAAGCTACCCGTTTAACTCAATCAAAGGGTTCAACATCTGTTTAATTTGAGAAACGGCGGCGAATTTTGACTTGAAGGAGAACGACTTCTTAAAAGGGAAAAACTGCCAGCCACATGCTTCCCCAAAAAATGGAGTTGTTTGAACAACACGTACAAAGAAGGATTCTTCGGTAAAAAACATCCGCTTAAAGTTTCTTTAAAATATGTAAATATTCCATCACAGACTTCTGTTCATACCGAATAACCTGGTTTTATAGGCAGCAAAGATATGAAATTAATAATCTGGATATATCAACAAAGTTGAAATGGTAACTGGCCACCGTAACGATTACAAAAGCTGACGTTTCGAGCGTTAGCCCTTAGTCGGAGCGAAGGACTAACGCTCCGACGAAGGGCTAACGCTCGAAACCTCAGCTTTTGTAATCGTTACGGTGGCCAATTTACCATTTCAACTTTGTTGATATATCCAAATTATTTCGTTACACCCACCCACGCAGCCCCAAACAGTTTCTTTAGAAACTATCAGCCTTTATTCATTTATGAAATTAATAGCTTAAACAGAAATTGGACTCATTTCGAGCATCATCGCAAAATGGTTTGACAGTATAAATTTAAATTCAACTTGTAGTAATTCAGAGCTGGAAACTTAACAATTTTTTAATTTTAACATTTTTTACGCCGAGCTTCTTATGACGACAGTTCGTGACTCTCTGCTTCCGAGGTCTTCACATGCGTACACATCCTGAGGATGTGTCAGAGATGTAGGAGGGGCCATCTCATCTTAAAAGCGAGCTTTCACTTAACTTAAATCAATAATCCAAAGTTGAAGGGAGGTATAAAGTCTGCTATTTCAACAGAAGGATAAATTCTAATGGAGAATATTGACAAATCAAGAGGTTTCCTGAACATAAGCCCAATCAGTTAAGTGTTAATCTACTGAATCAATATTACACAATGATATGAATTGGAATTAAATCACCGGCTTGTGTCCTGCTGACAGCCAATGACCAATGATTGAGGAGTATTTCCCGCTGTAAACACTAATACACATTTCAAGATTTTTTCGCAATAGATGACTTTGTTTCTTAGTTAGGAAGATGTTGTTTGTCTCAAAAGCGTATGCGCACGTTTTCTAGTGTTTTGATCGTTTTCAGTCAAAAGCTTAGACCAGTTGATTGGCACCGAATGTCGTCTTCTTTCATGATACTATCCGGCGGCTGCCTCTTAAAGTCATCAAACCAGAATATTCTTGACAAGATTTTATTGAATCTTAGGAAATGTTTTTCCGGCCAACCTTCTCGATGCAACCGGATGAATTAAGATAATTCAAATATTGTTCCGTTTAAAATGGAAATATTTGCACTTTTCAAGTTCTGTCCGCCCACCAGAAAGGGCTAATTTTTTACATTACTATAGTGTCCTTCACTGGTTTATTTTGAAGCAAAAGACACAAGTTGAAACTAATAAATAAAAAATTGGGTAATGAAACATTGCGGAGTCTTTCAGTGAACCCCATCTAAATTTACAAGACGATTACAATAGCCCATTTCCGAATTACCCTTGGCCTCGTTTTCAAACGAGTCCTGGTGCTCATCCTTTCATATGATTTAGAAGTTTTCATTCACATGCAAATTAAACTCATTTTCACAAGAATGGTTTAGCACAAGGCCTCGTTTTGAAAAAGAGGCCAAGGGTGATTCGGAAATGGGCTATTTGTTCCTCACAGAAGCAAATAATGAAATATTTCCTAGGGAGAGGGGGTTGGATTGTCGCATGTAAAGGGACTAATGAGGTAGATATTGTAGATAGATATTCCAAATCAGGCCCATGGATTGGTTGATGGATAGAACATAGCATCAATGGGACCGACATGGGATCACTGGGGATATTGAGCAAGTATAAACCTAAGAACAGTGTGAACGCAAGATCTGAAGAAAAGTGAGATAAGTGGGGATCTGAGTGTCTGAATTGTTTTCAGCTGGCGGATCTTTCTGGCGGCAAATCAAGCATGAGAAGGGTATGGAACAAAGATAACCCCGTTTCGATGTTACCGAGCAAATACCACCCCCACCTCTCCCCCCGATACTAAGATGGGCTTCCTCCATCAGACACTGAAATCTTTCCCAATCGTTCGCCACGCTTCTCCTTTCTAACCGCAAACAGGCACTCGTAGGTATCATATTTTTAAAAAATTAACCTCTTTCCTAGACGTACAAGATACACACACTTCTAGGAGTGTTTAGGTAAGAAAGTCAAACGTCAAATGTAAGAACACTCAAGTATGAAGATGAAAATTTTATAACTCCCAACGGGGACGGGGAGTTGTCTCTTTTAGACAAATTAACTGCCATAATATCAGAACCCAATTTCATCTGCAAGTCAAACATTGATAAATAACTAGGAATGATTGGGAGAATTAAGATTATTCACAAATTAAACTTCTCTGAATATATCTATATATATCTATATATAAAACTCTAAAAAAAAAAAAGCGCACAGGAGTAAGGAAATAAATGCAGCATTACGCTTCTTCTCTTCCAACCCTCCATTGGCTTCTGTGCTTCACACAATAGATGTCTGGAGGATCAAGTTGACGTTGCTTAAAAATTTAAGCAAATTAATCATTTCTGAATTATGTAACCACTAATGACTTCAGAGATCGCTGCTGTATAATTCTTTCTTCTTTTTTTTTTTTCATAGCAACGTTATCGTATTTTTCGTATCACTCATTGAGCAAAGTGTCCACAAACTGTAAACTTCCAAAAGAAAGGGAATTTTGAACGTAGGAATTTCATTAGCCATTGAGAAGCGTCTACGGAATCTGATTCTCATAAGCACGTCTTTATGTCGGCACAACGTTAAAATTTTACATCTCGTCGCTGAGCAACAAGGCAAACCACTGCCTCGGAGAACAACCAGTAAGATTAGTATAATTATTTGTATCCAACACAAGGGGTTGCCTTGAAAGCTACCAGAATAATGACTGAGTATAAACAAATGACTAGATTTACACCTCCCCCTGCTTCGCACTGCTTTGGGACGTAAGGAGGGGGGAAGTTCATACCGTCTATGTATCGCCTCTCCCCACACCCCTTCAAGATAGCGATGAGTCAGAATCTTAAAAAAAAAAAAAAAAGGGCATGTCTCCAAATGACTGTGAGAAGCTAATGGAGAAGCGCACCCCCTGGGAGATTGCACATATACAGGTTGATTTTGTGCGTGAATTTATCATAAATGAAGGTCTAAAAAAAGTCAGTTCGTCACCTGCAACTTGAACATCTTCGCGTTAAAGATGTTGTAGATAAAAACTCAAGACTACTGAATGCTTAAGAAATGAAGTAACATTTCTAAATAGATGTACACCTCGCTTTGGTGAGCATACATTCTCATTATTTCTAAGTTGTAACCTTTTAGGTTCAAGACTGAAATCTTCCCACTGCATTAAAAAGTTCCTGTGTGAAAGCCATTAGCTCGGCTGTGGCTTGGAGACCAGGTGGTATGGGAGGGGGGATGAACTGCTGCGGGGCCGCACTGACTCTCGGGACAGGGCGTACGCGCGGAAAGGGACCATGAGAAGATGATGTTAATGGCAAGGGACCCAAAGTTGGTGGAGGGGCTCGGAGTGGTGCATGTCTTGGGTTTGGACCCCACTCCGATCTTTTGGACGACTCGTCGTCGTTTGCTGTTCGTTCGTCTTCCGAAGTTGCCTCTTCTCCGGTCTCGGATCCCGATTCGTCGAAAACGTCGTCGTCGGCATCAATCGAGTGATTCTCCGGTGAAGAGGGCGGAACTTCCTCGTGAGATGAAGACTGCGCAACGTCACCACGCGACACGGGCACTGCGTGATCACTGCGTCTCGAGGTAGGAGCAACACCAGAATTTAAGGGAACCATTGTGGGAGATTGATAATCTAGAGCATTGCCTACACCTTCCGCAGAATAAACGTCCCGGTGTGCAGAGTTCAAGTGTTTCTTCAGCTTGTGTGGCCCAAGGAAACCTTTGTCGCACAGATGGCAAGTGTGACTATAATTGCCTGTGTGGATCCGCATATGGTCGTTTAAGTTATCCCGGCGCGCATAACCTTTGTTGCACTGTTCACACTTAAAAGGTTTATCTTTGGAGTGCGTGAACAAATGCCGCTTGAGCTTATCTTCACGGTAAAAGGTCTTCATGCAACCAGTATGGCTGCGAAACGGGCACGTAAAAGTTGGTCTAGTATCTGGGTAGTGAATTAACGAATGCCTCTTCATTTTATCTTTACGGGCAAACGCTTTTCCACATTCAGGGCACTTGTGTTTCTTTTCCGTCGCATGCACCGTTCTTTTGTGCGAACGAAGGTTCGCCGAAGAACAGAACGCCTTTGCACATTCGTCACAAGCGAACGGCCGCTCAGTAGAGTGGGTCGTCTTGTGTTTCTTGAGATGTATGGTGCTGGTGAAGACCTTCCCGCATTCATCGCAAGGATGCGCATGACTCTCGTTTAGTCGATGCTGCTCGAAGCCGTTGGCAGTGAAGAAACTCTTATTACAAAGCGAACATTTGAATTCCTTCTTATGCATCTTACAGTGCTCTTCCTTCTCCTTCAAAGCATTGAAAACCGCCGGGCAGCGCTGACATTTGTACACCTTGGAGGGAGGGTTGAGGTATATTGGCACAAACACGCTGGTCGCACCCTGTTTACGCACCCCTGTACCCAGGGGGCTGGTTGGAGACGGAGATGTGGAACAAGGTTTCAGATGAACTAGTTGTGATTCTGGGATATGGACAGTCACAGGTTCATCCGAAGTCGAGGGTTTCTTGTTACGAGGTTCCTTGGCTTTCTCTTGAGTGGAGGTAGACGAAGAGGTGGAGCAGCATTTCCGTTTCCTGGTGGTTTTGGGGTGAGAATTCTTCCTCTTGTGCCTCTTTATCGGTTTTTCTACGATGAAAACACAACTATCTAAAGGACCAATCAATAAAGGGGGTAATTTTTCAAAGAAACTGCGCTGCTGCGTCGGTGAGGGTAACGAGGTAATTTGGTTTCATCAACTGAAGTGATAATGAAAACTGGCCATCGTAAAGGACTAACGCTCGAAACGTCAGCTTTGAACCCTTGACGACGGTTAAATTATATTATTAAAAACTGGATCATTGGATAATGCAATTCAAGACTTTTTATTGGCTTAGCCATTATGGTATATCAGCCAATATACCATAATCTACAAATATGGTAAGCGTACGCGTCAGCTTAAGATCAAAAGGGAGCTAAAAAATCCAGTTTCTTCTTACAAAATAATAATTTCTTGGGGGCGTTTTTAATAAAACAATTATTCCACTCGCGCTTGTTGGATATGAGATGATTATAGCCAACTCGGTGCTACGCGCCTCGTTGGCTATCTATCATCTCATATCCAACGCGCGCTCGAGGAATAATTGTTAATTATCAGCTCAGTTGATGAAACCAAATTATCTGAAGGATCGCTCCGTACCAATCGCCAGGGAGGGGGGGTTCAAGCATTCCTCCTAAAAACCATGTGATTCCTCCCCCCCCCCCCAAAAAAAAAAAAAAAAAAAAAAAAAGAAAACCGTCCGACTCCTACCCGGGTAACAAAAAAATAGTGACTGGGTACTGTTATAGGAGAGAATAACTTGCAACAGTTAAGCCAAAGTAGACAATTGCCATCTCCATTCAATACAAGATAAGCAACAATGAACTTATATTTTCCTGACCTAGTATGAAGTAAATACAAGAGTCAATGATTCCCAAACTATTCTCTCTACATTTTGTTTTTCACTCTTAAACTCCCATGAGTGATCAAGACTTAATTTCTCCTTATAATATCAATACAAAACCAAGAAGTCAAGCGATGAGAATTGCAAAAACATATCAACTATGAGTCTAGGGGATTATTGTTTGATCCAATATAAATTCTTAGAAACAATAATATTATAGGAAATGAAGAGTGGACAATAAGGAGAATTTTCATTGAGATATTGGCAGTGAGAAGGTCTAACAAACCTGTCATAAGTAAGAAACCTGCAACAATCTCCTAAAGTAAAACCATGGATGCATACTCACTAAAAGCTAAAACCTGTTCTGCGCAGTACACAGCAGATCCATAAGATGCACGATCCTCACAGTAGATAGTGCTATTTATGCAATAGCGAAAATCAGACCTGAAAAAAATCAGGCCTGTACAGGACTCGAACCACTGACCTCTGCGATACTAGTGATCCAATACAGATCCAATACACAAGAAAATGGGATGCAAGAGAAAGAGCAGCAGTCGTGTGATCAATTGCTATTAACTCTTTCCACCCTTACATCTGTAAGCATATTCTCCATACTGTTCTCTATAGATTTTCCAAGTTGCTAACAAGGAGAATTTGTTTAACAATCATGAACTCCTTTACTTGGTGTCCATTTTCTTTATTCTTGTCACTTTAATGTTGGATTCATGGGGTGTGCTTGTGATGAATGAGCTCTCAGTGACTTTTTGCAATAACCCTTTGCTGCAATGGGAATTTACATTGTGTGTATCATTTGATTTTATGGCACTTGGTGGAAAAGTTTTCCATTACAGTCACAATGTTAGAATGGATTCTAACCTTTAGAAGATGCCCAACAACATATACACTTTGATTTATCATCTTACAGGTTTATGTCGGACTAATTTGATGACCTGCTCCCAGTTGGCTTGTTAGCTCAATTGGTAGAGTGCTGCACTAGTATCGCAGAGGTCAGTGATTCGAATCCTGTACAGGCCTGAATTTTTTTTCAGGTCTGATTTTCCCTATTACTTAAATAGTGCTCTTTACTGCAAGGAATGTGCACAAATACATATACACTTCAGTCAGTAGCTCCTTTTAAAATACAAAACATTTCTATTTTCCACTTTAGCTCACCAGTTTTGTCCTGATCCAAAGTTTTGTGACCTTCGGGTTTTTCTCCCGCAGATGATGATGATGCACCATCACTAATTGCGACTGGGTCTAGAAACTGAACCTCAACCTTTTTTGCTGCAGAATCATCCTCAATGCCCTCAGAACACTCTTGAGCCTTCTGAGTAGCATCTGTTGATGCTTCATCTTCAGCGCTACTTGTCTTGAACTCCCCAGAGTGAGACTGGCTGCCAGCATCAATGGGAAGTTTGTCGACAACTTCTGTCAGTGAGCTCTTGTTGACAATGTCACGACAAACTTTGTTTGCTTTGTGCTTGATGTACTCTGACAGATCATTAAAAGACAATTTACATCTTCCACAAAAATGAACATCTTGGTCATCATCTGCAAAAAGCAAAATTTCCTTCATTAGCATATGTTTAGCATATTAAAGAAACTAACAATAACTACAAAATTAAATAGATAAACACTTTGAATTTCAGCCGTAGCACTTCTACCAGGTGCTGCTTTAGCACTTCTACCAATTGTTGGTTTTGGAGGGGGAAGTAAGGAAAAACTTAAACACTTGAAGAAAACTTCCTTGCAGCACAGACAAGCATTTACAGTATGAAAAACTAAACCCACATGACAGGTTCAAGAATTGAACACACACCACAGGGGGATACTGGAGGGGATCAAACAACCTCACTATTGTACCTTTGTAGCATTGAAACAAATAAATAAGTGATCTTTCAAGGTCATTTCCCAAAATTACCTATTGTACATTGCTGGTAATTGGATAGTACTTGGTATATTATATTCTTTCAGGTTCAATGCATTTCATGGCAGTATAAAAATTCACTGTCTTCAGTGATGCTAAGTATGTCAAGAATACAAAGGTAATTACATTGTAAGCTGTAAGCCCCCTTCAAAGGCATTGAATGATTGTGATAAATGCAGTTTGTAGCACCTGATAAAGTTTAAGCTACATGTATTTCTTTATACAAGGAGCTTGCATAGTTGAATGAGTTTTATTCTAGATATTTCAAAACCAATGAAAACAACAAATACTAAACTGGAGTATATAAAATGAGTAATTAAATGAGACACTACACTCTCCAATTTTCCAGTCCCCCCCCCCAAATAAGATGACTTACATATAGGGGGTTGGGGAGAGAAGGAAGTATTGTAAAGGAAGGCAAAAAGTACTGTTAGTAAAGTCTGTTTACGACCCTAGTGGCTCATTAGGCTGGTGCTTAACTTCGGTTTCTGTAGCATGAAGCGACTAGGGGTATTTCTACTCCCCCGTGGATGGGATGTTAGTCCATCGCAGGGTTACCCCCAACATTAAATTGCCGGTACCCATTTATACACCTGGGTGGAGAGAGGCACTGTGAGAGTAAAGTGTCTTGCCTAAGAACAAAACACAATGTCCCAGCCGGGGCTCGAACCCAGACCACTCAATCCGGAGTCGAGTGCACTAACCATGAGGCCACCACTAAAAAGTACCGTAATGATCCTCAAAAGTGAGCTACCATTATCTTAATAGCACAAAAAAATAAAAACCTGGAAAAATCCAGGCTTTGTAGGGATCTGAACATATGCCTCCCAGGTACTAGTTTGGCACTATTACCATCAGGGCTATGAAGCCTCACATTTATAATAAAGAAAATTTTCATGGGTTCTTTTTTATGGTGAAGGAATCATATCACAAGTTTTGAATGAAATAAATTTAAAAAAAAATTAATAAAATATCTTCAAAGGGAAGCTTCCAGAGCCTTCATACACTAATATCAATCAAGCACACTCTTTTCTCAGGGCCCATTTGAATAGCTTCAGTATGCATGACAACTCTCCCCCTTCGAGTTATTCCTGGCCGAGATAACTTTTGACTGTCTTCTTTCTTTGAAAATTTCAACCAGCTGTCCAAATGAAAATGGGGAACTCATCTCAGGGGTGATCGGCAGATGGGTAACACTGTCAGACAGGACAACAGAACATATATCAAACACCTCAGGGACTGGGACAAGACCACTTAAATTGTTTACAGCAACAAGACCACTTAAATTGTTTACAGCAACAAGACCACTTAAATTGTTTACAGGACTTATGGGTTTATAGTCAGTTGAAATTGTCGAGAGAGACTAGAGAGGGGACTGTTGCTACAACTCAAAACTTCACATACATGTAAACACTTCATAAAGTTGTCAAGGGAGAGTGTTGTCTTGGATACCTGAGAGTATAAAAATATAATTGTACACTTTAGGTTTGTGCACAGTTACCTGAGGGAATGTTAACTTCCAAAACAGTTGGAGTTCTAGAAGTAGGCTCATCACTCTGAAACAATTAAAAAATTTATTAATTTGTTTCAGTCTTTCAGTGCATATCTGTCCTTACCCAATATTGTTGATTGAATTTAAGAAATCAAACATGGATTACATTACACTAGTAAAGGAATAATAACAGATTTAAGGGTTTACCCTTTGATTCCCAAAGTGATTAACATGTAACTTCTCCCTTAAATGTCCAGTCATTAACCAGCAAACAGGTAACAAGAATACTCAAACTTATCTAAGTAGAAACTTTTGTCTCGATCTAACTCCATCTTCTTGTAATTAATCTATATGGAAATGTGTGGCACAGAGAGGGGAGAATTAACCATCAGATATTGGGAGTTAAAATTAATATAGAGAGATACATTAGTTTATTACCAAAAAATAAAAGTACTTTGCAGCCATAAGCTGAATTACGTACTTTTCACAATTATTGATAAATATATATACGAGACTATATAAAACTACAAAATTTACAAAAAATTCTAAGACCTAAAATAATTACACTTATACAGCAATGGAATAAAATGCAGTCCATGCTAAGACCCTAGATTAGCCCTCGCGAATTAATAGCCGGAATGAATCAAGACTTAAAACGATCAGTGCGGAAGCGCCGCATGTTAAAAATGCACTGGTGTCTTGTGTTGTACGCTGAATGATGTCTATCTGGCAGCAAACTGTACAATTTATGAAATGGATTTGAGATGGACAAAATCAGATCCGTACATAACTTCTTGCATCTGTCGTAGAGCGAAGCTAAATCATGCTTATCTAAGGAGTCATGATATGAAAATTCTGGTGAAATAATAGATAATGAATGCCTTTGGACACTTTCGATGTCATCACTAAGATACATGGGTAACGCACGATGGAATATTTGTGCACTGTATTCCAGAACTGGACGTATTGTTGTACAATAGAAATTAATTATATCTTCCACTAGAATGCAGGCTCTCCTTAAAGAGTTAAAAATTCTTTTTAACCATATGGCACTCAGAAGTGATGAACAAGTAATTCTCTCCACAAATTCAACACATTATGCAGTCAACAGGTGCTGAGAAGTGAGCTCTTTATCTATAGACTAATCAGCTGTCTAGGTGAGTTTTATGTCCACAAGACACCACATTTTCCTGATTCACCTTTAATGGTTTGTCGAGAAATTAGATGGAAGAATTGCATTCGTTGATCAGATCTCGAGAGTTACTGAGTGAATTTGCATGGTCGAGTTTAGTTCATTAATTTTTGTCTCTGGGCTAATGATACACTGTGGAAATTTTTCACCTGGCGTTTTAAGTTTCCTTTCGATTAATGTCATTTTTGTTCTTTTTATATCAATCAGAATATCGAAGACAGGTATCATACGGTCCCGGAGAAGCGAGCAACGGAATAAAAAAAAAAATCTTGTTTTAATATTCCGGAAGAGAGCTCATCGGATTTCATTAAAAACCAAAACGAAAATCGCACTGAAGAACTAGCCTGGTATATCATTTTACGTTTGCTATTGCGCTAACAGGGAGAACCAAGAGGAACAGCAAAGTCTACCAAGTACATTTATCCTCAAAGAACGCGTTAAATAAGGTAATAATTAATTAAAAAATCAACCAAACAGTACCTCAGTTGGAATATCCGCCATATTGTGGAAAGGTTTCCCTCCGGATCGAAGATAGTTTTCTGCAATTTCTCTTCAAGTAGACGGGAATACAGAGGTAAAATGACTTGGCATTGATCATATGCAGAGTTTTACAAACATTCTCTAAATATCGTGAGCATCTAAAGCCAATCAAGGCAGGAAAAAGCGAAATTTTCCATCGACCACAGGAGGCGAAGCAAAAAATTTGTCCACCACTCCCATCGCGCTTAGTGACCCCTTCATTAATGAGGCGAGGTTACCCACTTTGTAACATGTGATCGAGGATCAAATTTAACGCGGGCTTGCGCCTTTAAATTTTGTTTATAACAAAGCACGCTTCAAGATTTCACACCTTCGACTCAGAGAGGTTAGATGGTGTTTTTCAATCTTTGTTCTGCTTATTTTCACGTTATTTTTTTCATTAAAGGGGCTTAACTGAGCTCAACGTAGGAAATTTTGGATGGGCGACAATTAGGAGAGCCCGGACAACACATTCTGACAATTCATGTAAGCTTGATTAGCGATGTTTAGAGGTACTGATTTGTTTACGAAAGCATTGAATATCGTGTATTTTTTCCAATAGTTGGGTAAATTTATTTTTAAATTCGCCACAAATTAGCCATCCTTTCCCTAATTTTTCTCGATGAGTAATACTTTCTCGATGTGTAGTATTTCAATTGTAGTTATTTAGAATTTCTACTCTATGTTAGTGGCGTTCACTAGTTGAATTTTTGTTTCATATTTTTACACATGATTTATGATTTGACATTTGGGAGTCCTTGATAGATGGCTGGTACAATGGGTCGCAAATCAAAATGACCAGAGTCTTTGTGTTGTCATTGTTCTTTGCCAACACTCTCTACACTCTCAGTGCATTTCGACCCCCCCCCCCACTCCCTCAAAGAAGTATGAATGGGCGCGAAGAAACTGTTGTCGAAATTTGACAAAATCTGGGGGGGGGGGAATTTAGCTAGCAGTACTCAAGCACCCCATCTGGGGAGAGTAGCAATACTAATAGTCCTAGTCCTAGTCATTTCATGGTACATAAACTGGGATAAACTCACTTCAGCTGGTGGGCAAGTGTCTCATAAAGACTTATTCCACATTTCCTAGGATTGATCAGCAACATGTAGGAACAACTGATAGTCTCTCTAACAAGTTTAGAGAATTTGACTCAACACAACTTTTAAAATGCCTCTTAAAAAGAAACCTCTGGAAGACGCAAGGAAAAGATTGCAGGAAAAGCTGAACAATGTTGAAGAACAGTCTGAGTATATCTGTCAGGTTATCAATGAGCTGGTATCCAAGGTAAAATAATTAA